TGTGTGAGAGAGAGAGAGAGGGGGGGGGTTCTCTATGTAGCCCTGGCTGTCCTGGAACTCCCTCTGTAGACCAGGCTGGCCTTGAACTCACAGAGATTCGCCTGCCTCTGCCTCCCGGAAGGGTGCTGGGATTAAAGACCTGCGCCACCACCGCCCGGCTCCACCCTCTTACTAAATTCTCTCTAATGAGGCAAAACATTGCTGAGTTTAAACCTCTAATCTACACCATCCTTTACAATGACTTTTCATGGAAGGACCTGTGATAACTGGAAATTTTCCACTGTGCTGTCAAGGTGGGAAAAATGGATTCTCTAGGCCTTCCCCAGCATCCTTAACTTCACTGCATGGCAATATTTTCTCAAACATAAAAGAGTCGAATGAAAATGGACCTGTGACCTCGCCACCATTCTTCATATGGGTCCCAAGATGACATTTTAAAAGAAACTGACTTCCCTTCCTTTCTTTGTTCTGCTTATTTTCTAACGAAAACCGTTCACATTGCCTGGTTGGTCTAATCCCAAGTCTCTTAGCAAAATCAGATCTGAGGGAATTCCTCCGTCCCGACTTTTCACTCTCCCTTCCCATTTGTGAGCAGAGCCTCTTTGGGGGAGTGAGTCATGCTTTACAACTTACCATTTTCCTGGTTCCTTCAGAAGCACTCATTAGCATAATGGGGTCCTGAACTACACATGGAAACTAAAATGAATCCATTTGCTCAAGGGAGATATCAAGGTCTTGTAATCAGCAACTACTTCTAAGGAAATATGCCTCCCTTGCCTTTCAATTCCTAAGTTCATCCCCCTGCAGCTCAGGCAAAGATCATTCCCATGCCACGGCTCCTGATCATTTGTCTCACAGTCACAGCAGGCAATGTCAGCTGCAGCCATGACAAGGGAAGTGTGTCAGGAAGCCAGATCAAATTCACTTTCATGGGCTAAATTCTGGCAGTCTCACACTCCCAGAGCCTTTTTGGTACCCTTCAGTGACTCCCCCCTGAGAAAGGAGGAGCCCTTCAAGAAGCCGTCCTCCAAGCATTCTTCCTCGCCTCGGAGTTCCGCACAGTCTTGTCCCCACACCCTGCCTTTGTTTCCAATCAGCTCCGGAGCCATTCCATCATTTCAGGATCTGCATCCAGATCCGAACTCTGACCTGAATTTAAGCTCTACACACTGCAATGAGATTAAGATTTCCAAAGCCTGAGTCTCATCAAGTACTCCCTCTCCTCAAAGCTCTCTACCAGCTACGTTGGATTGCTATGATGGTCAACCTAAGGCAAGTTCCCCAGCATGACGTACCTGGTCCTCTGACAACTGGCTCAGTCCATCTCTCACTGCTCAGCACTTCTCTGCTTCCCTTTATACACTGTAGTGGGTAGATGTTCCAGCTTTGACCTTGAAACACTGCCCCTTGTGTGGCAGCAAATAACTGCCACACCTGCCTACAACCTGCCCCTGGGGTGTGGTCAAGAGGAGACCCCTTAAGACCCGAGATGCATACGTGTTCTCTCTCTTAGCTCCTCATGGTCCTAGAAGCTGGATTTGCAGACCAAGTCAAAGTTCCCCAGAAAACTACGCTGGATTATACTGGGCTGTACCTTATCTCTCCTGGATCCTGTAATCGATCCCTTATTGGTTGTAAGTTACCCCTAAAATAAACCTCTTTTAATTACCAGATAAACTACATGGAACTGCCTCGTTAATTATACCAATAGTACACTGTCTCTCAGAAGGATTTGCCTCCCATCTCTACCTCTCCGCTGTCTTTCCAGCTCCCTTTATACACGGCATTAAGAAAGATAATGAGCTAGGGGTGAGAGCAGACAGTGCCATTCTATGGGCACATAGAGGAGAAGATTCCGATGGAGGAAAGATGAATTGTTTCAGAGACCCGTTAGTGGCTAAGGTCCAAGTCACAGGCGAAAATACGGCACATGTAGTTGGAGAAGGCACAAAGCTTAGAAGAGAGGGCAGGGCTGAAGAAAAAGATCTAGAATTAATCCAGCAGCCTGTGACGATGGCAATCATGTGACTACCAGATGGAGAAAGGCGTTGTGGTGGTCTGAATGACAAATGTCCCCCATCGTCTGGCATTTGAATACTTGGTCCACTGTTGGTGGAACTGTTAGGATAGATTTAGGAAGTGTGGCCTTGCTGGAGGAGGAGTGTCCCTGGGAACAGTGTTTTAGAGTTTAAATACTCAAGACATTTCTTGTTAGCTCTCTCTGCGTTACATCTGTGGTTCAAGATGTGAGCCCTCGGCTTCCTGCTCCTGCCTGCTGCCTCTGATATCACAGACTCGAACCCTCTGAAACTGTAAGCTCAGCAAGCCCTTTCTTCCATGAGTGGCCTTGGTCATGGTATTTTATGACAGCGATAGAAAAGTAACTAATAGAGGCACCACCTGATGAGAACCAAGAGGCTCTTACGCGTAAGACAGAATGAGTAACCAGTGGCTTTCTACTTGTTCGGTTCACTTTCAAAAGCACTTCACATGTGTTATCTCATGGTTGTCTCAGCTCTGGAAGGTTCCTAGAATGCTGCCTGAAGGAGTCTAAACAGCCGATGTCTAGA